AAACACCAATCACTTGTTTAGTTAAAATCTTAAAAGTTTATTAGAAATAAAATAGTTATAAAAACAGTAATAAAATTAGGGTAATAAAAATTTGGACAATGGGGATTAGGACACTACAAGACAATGAAAAGCAAAGAATTACAATGTCTGGATGTTTTTGGGCACTCAGCTGCCAAAAATATGCCTTGTGAACAAAGGAATAACCTTTAAAAGCAACAGCCTGTTGCACATTCATATATCTCATACATGATGCATAAATTCCTTGCAAATTAAAAATTTTTCTGGTTTTTGTCAACTTCTTCCCCTTAATCCTGGTGGTTCCTTAAAGACAGAGAGAAGGTAGAAGAATGTTTATCTTTTACAATAAGATCATAACTCTGAATGTGCCCTGTGCTGTTATCTCTGTGTGAAGAGTTTCTTGATTATCTCATCTCTTTCTTGAGCTAGTAAAAAATCTTACATCACAGAGTTTCTATTTTAACATTATGTTATAACCTAAAACTATATTTAACACACCACTCAAGAGAATTAATACAGCATAACTTTCTAACATTACACATATAATACTCATTTTAATATTTGTGAAAAGCCAATCATAAAATACGCATTTTCCACACCAATCATATAATATGCATTTTTCACATCCAGCAAGGGTTTTCCTTCTCCAAAACTAATTAGTGATGCTTCCTCTAAATGGTCCTTATCCCTGCAGTCTCCACGCTTAGTTTTGAGTGACAAAATTCTGCAGCTATGTGGATTTAAGCAATTTAGCAGCACTAATTAAAACAGAGCTCCCCACCCCATCCCTGGAAAGAGTCAGCATAACTCAGCGGTGACCTCGGCTGGGCTGTGTGACTACTGTCCTCTGCGGGACCCCAAACCTGGGCTTAAAGTTAAGCTTGGGATTAGAGGTTGTGCTGAAGCCAGCAGGGTGAGTCCCTTGCTGTCCTGAATCAGCAGTGGCTGCACAGGGAAGCCCCAGAGCAGGCAGGATGTCTGGCAGCTCCTGGGGTGTTGGATGTTCCAAGGGGGGAGCTGGCTGAAGATCCCATAAACTGCAGGGGACAGAAACCCCAGTAAAAGTAACACCACTCCCACACACACCCCGTGGGTCTAACCCACTTAAGCTTCTGTGCCTTGTCCTGCTGTGGAAGAAGCATCCTCATTCTTGCCCAGAATTCTCCCAGGGCTGTCTGCCTTCCTCTAAAATCGTGGTTTTCTCTTCCCTCTGCTCTTTTAAAGCTGCTGGGTCGATTTAGCCCATTTCCTCTATACCGGCCTTAAATTCCATAATTAACAGGTCAATGCAGGCAGTCCTGTTCCAGGGATGGGGAGGGAGGCAGGTCCTGTTCCGTGCTGAGAAGGGGATGCAGGAGGAAGCATCTGGGGACTTTCCCTCTGAAATAAACAACACAAGAAACGAAAGGATAATATAATTAGGTGGGGGGAGAGGCAGAAGAAAAGTCACTCCCTGAAACCCAGTCCCTTTCATCCTGCGGGAGCTGGGCAGGGAGATCACAGGCGAAGCTGGGTCAGATGCGCTGGAACATTTCTAGACCTAGAGTGTTTAAATAGAAAGGTTATGTACCTGGGAGATTTATTTCATCTCTTAATTGGTTGTTTGTTTACATGACTCAGGAGCTCTTTTCTCGTGCTTGCTTTGCTGGCTCACTCAGCTGCTGAAAATCCTGGGTGGCTGCATCCCGACCCGGCCAGTGCCGGGCATGGGGCTGTCCTTCGGCTCCGGCTCCTCCCCATGACCCCTTCCCATCTCCCGGAGCCCGTGGCTCTCCCATGGCACCCAGGTGTGCCGGTGGGATGCTCCAAGATGAGCTTCCACCGTGCCAGCATCTCCTCTTCCCTTGTGGAAATCAGGAGAGGGCGGGGATGGACCCTTCTGGGCCAGGATTTGAGGCTCTCCCTCTCCCGAGCATCCTGCCAGGCCCAGCAGAGGATGAGATGCAAAATGCCACGGGTTTGGGTTTGGTTTTCCCCCTGGTCTTGGTTCTCTGCTGGCCTCAGCCTGCACAAAAATTTGGAGGAAAATCAGCCTTCTCCTGTTGCATTTCAGACTAACAAAAGTTCAGTAGAAGTAGTTCGGCTAAGGCTTAGAATTCTTAGTAGGCCATAGGCTGTGTGTTGTTAGAAACAGTTGTTAGGTAAGGGCAGTACGGAATACTGGAGAGGTAGAAACTTGTCTCAGAATACATTCCAAGAATGGGCCATGGTAGGACATGTCATTATCTACAAGATGGATAGGTAGATCTTGGGGGAATACATTGTTTTTACCTAACAGAGTGAAGAGATTTTATGATCATAAAGAATGTTCAATTTAAACAAGGATTAATTTGTAAATAAATGATTGTTGAAGTGTAACGTAGACAAATATGTGTTGAATTAAGCAACCGTTGATATAGACTCTATATAAACGCAATGATTTGTTAGCTCGGGGGGCTCTGACTTTGGACATTAGTCCTCAGGCTCCCAGGGCCCTCAATAAAGCACTGCATAAAACGACTTCAGTTGTTTTGTGTTCTCTCTACGGGCAACACTCCTACCATGGCTCTGGAGAGAAGTTTTAGAAATACCTGGAGAAATGCAACAGGTTCTCTCTCACCCTCCTCTCTTGGTTTTGTATACATTTAATGCTAATTTTCTTTTGGTTTTATCTCAGTTTATGTTAATTTCCCCCTTTCCAGACAACAGGTGCGAGGTGCCCTGGGGCTCTTTGGCCCAGCGGGTGTCCTGGTGCCACTTCGTGCTTGTATGGGAGACCCTCCTTCCATCCCCCTCCCTGGAGCCAGTGGATCTTTATCTCAGCCTGGCATCCATCCTTAGAGGGGAGAGGGGGCTGGGCGGATCAGGAGCAGCCACCCAGATGGATCAGTGGGATGACCTTGGGAGGAGCAGCCTCGGGGCAATGGGGAAGCCGAAGATAAAGGAGGGATGTTGCCCAAGGTGAGCTGGCACCACCGCCCTTGGAATGAGGAAGGTGTTTCCAAAACAGGCAGGTTGGCCCCAAAACACCTCCCAGCTCCTGCGGCTCTCCTGGAGCTGACCTCAGCAGTGGCCACATGTGTTTGGGAGGAGCTGATAGGCATCAGTGCAGGAATGTAAGGATTTGGGGCTTTTTTCCCCATGGGTTTTTGGGTTGCAAATGTGTTATCCCTTTCTCAATCTTTGCAGGATGCAGACGAATACACATTGCTAAGAGCTAAATCAGAGCCTCTGATCCTCCTCCTCACCTCTTCCTCTCTCCTTCCTCCACTGAAGTCTGCATCAACAATGATAATTAAAACCATGTTTAGGAGAAGTTTATTGATTTCTCCTCTGGAATTTCTTTTTCTTTCTGGACTTTTGAACTGCTGTCATGGAGAAGGACTTTCCCATGTGCTGCCCACACGTTTTTGTGGGGATGTGATGGGGATTTTAGGGAAAGCACCAAGTTACAACCATCCTAGGTCTTGATGGTGTCTCCAAGCTTTGAGGCTGTGAGAACATCCTGTGCTGTCTCCTCAGTCCGTCCCCAATCCCTTGGAGGACACAGTAACCCAGCCCCAGGCCATCCACTGAGCCCCATGAGATGTTTGGAGCAGCAAGGAGGTCAGGAAGCCTCCAAGCTGCTGCTGGCCTGAGGTGGTGGGATAGGAGGACCAAAGGCTGTGGGGGATTTTCCCTTTTGCTGCAGGGTGTTGGGGAAAAAATGTGTCAGGATGTGGTGATGGGATTACCTGGCCACAGCCACGCTGGGTAATGGAGCCTTCTCCAAAAATTCATCATTGTTTGGGGCTGAAAAGTCCTGCTGGAGCTAGAAGGCTTGTGGAGCTTGTGAGCTGGGAATCAGCTTTTGGAGAGCAGATAGGACCCTGCACTGAGCATAGTTCTTCTGCTGGTTCTGAGCTTTGATGGGAAAGCGCTGGGGTTTGGGACTGTGGAGAACAGCAAGGGCTTATCCAGGATTTTCCTGGGTTGGGATTTATGTATGCCACTGGCCAGCTGATGAAAAGTCTGGAAAACCCAGGACCTGCCATGTCATGCAGGTGTAGGCAGAGCCCAAGCTACTAATTACCTGCCTGAGGACAAAAAACTTGTGGATTTTTGTTTTCTTAGTGTCTAATCCAAGGAGGTTCCCATCCAAGTGGCACCAAGAGTGCCCCAAGGAGATCTGGCGGCCTTCTGGAGAACATACAAAGCAGGAAAAGCTTTGAAAGCCAAGAGAAGGAGGAGGAGAGATCCCTGGGTGTCACTGAGCATCTCCTCCAGGCCTGGCTGATGCAATGTGCGCCCTTCCAAAGGCTGGGAAGCCCTGGGAAGTCCCCAGGAACTTTGGTGGCATCAAGGCCGGCTGCCAACTGGGGCTGGGGAGTCCCCAGCCCAGGGGCAGATGCTGAACTGAGGCCAAGCTGTGGTTCCCTGTGGGAAGGGCTGATCCAGCTGCTGTGGATCAGATGGCATCAGATATCCCTGAGGGAGAGTCAGCCAGGAGTAAACCTCCTTCTAACAGGTTTCCATAATGAGGATGTGGGGTTGGGATGGGAAAGAGCAAGGCAGGAGGGTCATTTCAGCCCTAAGCCCTGAGCAGCCATTCCTCTCCTCCCCCTGGCATGATAAAGCTATCCCTGAAGTGGCAGCATGGTTTATCCCACCATCTCCTCATTCCTAGCTCTCTTTTCTGAGGGTTTCCATAATAAAAATCCTGCTCAGGGAACTGGGGTCAGCCCCAGTGTTGGTGTCCCAGTAACAGAGGGATGGAAAAGGACAGATTGTACATCCAAGCAGTTGGCTGGGGAATGTCCTCTCCCACACTGGGCTGAAGAAGGTCCTGCAGCCCTATCCAGGGATGCTGCAGCAGGCACAGCCAAGAGCCTCACTCATTTATTGTTATTTTCTTTTCCTTTGCAGGCACTGAAAATTGCTGCGTGGGAAGAGAGGTGTCTGAAGGTGATGAATGGCTTTGCTATGTTTGCCAAGGAGATGTTTTCATTTGATGGGCACCAAAACACCTGGGCTTGCCCTTCCTGGCTGGCAGAGTGAAATTCCCTAAAACAGCTCAGAAATACAGGCCAAATCAGTAGTTTCAGGAAAAAAGAGGAAGGCTGGATGTGCCATTGCAGAGGAGGGGAGAGGCCAGGCTCAGCCGTCTGAGGTATGTGATGTCCACGTGCTGCTTCTGTCCCAGCTGAGGGGATTTTCCAATGACCTGGATATGAGCAGGGCACGCTCCATCCCTCCCACCAGTCCTGGCTCGGGGCAACTGGGCTATGGGCATCCCTGAGCCTGGAGGAGGGAAACCACACTGGGATGGAAGCTCCCAGGTCCCAGGGATGCAGCACCCCAACCTCAGTTCCTTGGTTTGCATGTTGAAATTGGGGTTTTCCCATTACAGGAAGATTGTGGTATTGCCTCTGCATCCTTGGAGAAGCAGCATGTGGGCTGTGAATCATGCCTTGGGTAGCAGAAAGGAGATCTTCAGGGCTTGCTCCCTGCTCTAAATATCCATCCATCCATCCATCTATCATCCATCCATCATCCATCCATCATCCATCCATCCTCCATCCATCCATCATCCATCATCCATCCATCCATCCATCCATCCATCCATCCATCATCCATCCATCCATCATCCATCCATCATCCATCCATCCATCCATCCATCATCCATCCATCCATCCATCATCCATCATCCATCCATCCATCCATCCATCATCCATCCATCATCCATCCATCCATCCATCCATCCATCCATCCATCCATCCATCCATCCATCCATCCCACCAAACCCAGGTTCTCCCTGTCATCCCAGGCTCTCTACCACTGCTGCTTTCCTCCCTGAGGGTGGGCTCACAGGGATTTGGGGTTGTGGATGTTGGTGCACATCATTTGTCCTGGTTTATCTGCTCTGTTTGGGATGTATTTGTACTTTCTCATGGTACTTCTGAGGAGCAGAAACCAGACATCTGTTGGGCTGCAAAAACTTCAGTGAGCTGGCAGGGATGATCTCTTCAGAGAAACATTTTTAAGAGGGGGGGAAAAAAGGGACTTATTTATTTTTCATAGCTTTCTTTTTTTTTTTTTTTAACTACTTAGCTGGTTCTTCAAGGCATTCCAGCCCCAGCAGCATCCCATGGTGAGAAGTTCCCTGGATGAACACACAGCCTTAGTTCACCTCTGCCAGGGCAGGGACCTGGCACTGGAGCATCACCAGTAATTTTCCACCCATCTCCACAGTGTGGAAATACACCCAGGCATGGAAAAAGCCTAGAAGGGAATAAAGAAGACACTTGGCCAGTAGAGCTTGGCTGGCTCCCAGCTCAAGGAACAGCTTCAGGTTCATCCCCAGCTCTCCAGTGCTTGGCAGGCTCCGCTGTCTGAGCTCCTACAAACAGGACCGGCCAGCAGCATTCCTGCCAAAACCCCGGCTGCTCCCGCTCCAAGAGCTCCCTGCGCCCAAGGGTTAGCTGCAAGACAAAAAGGAGGAAAAGTGGCCCTTTTGTGGGGTTTGGTTGGGATTTTTTTCCTTCTCACCACAGAGAAAAGGAGAAGGAAATACTTGGCACGGAGGAGCGAGGGGGAGGTAGGGGACAGCGGGGATGTGGCGGTGGGAGGCGAGCGGGCCCTTTATGAGACTCTAATTACTCCAGCCAAAACCCACATTAGCCCGATGAGTGAAAAGAGGTTTTTACGAGGGCAATAAGATGTCCCAGCCTGCCGGGGCAGTGACTGCCGGCCGGTGGCCTCGGGCTCTCCGAGGAGCCGCTGGTGCTGCTGCTGCAATTCGACTCCAGCTCGGCAAGAGGGTCCGGCCATTTCCCAACCTCGCCGTGCTAATCCCTCTTACCTCAGTGGTGCAGCAATAACCCCCGGAGCCAGCACCAACTCCCACTGCCGGCGGCTGCAGAGCACACAGTGTTCCCAGACAAGGCTCCTCACACCCTGTGCAGCCCCGGCAAACAAGGGCGGCTTCCCAAATCCCGTGAGCATCCTTCCCCCAGCAGCTTTCCTTGGAAAACACCCCTGAAGAGTCACTGTCCCCAGCTCACTTCCTTGAAAACTCAGGTTGCTGTGAACACGGTGGTGAAACAGGCTGGGAAGGGGGCACCAAGGGCAGACCGAGGTCTGTGATATCCTGATGAGTCCAGAGAAGATAAGTGATGAGAGGGTGATGACTCACTGCCTCCTGTGCAAAACCCAGGACCATCCAATGCATCCAGCATGTCCAAAGGAGATGTTTCTCATAGGATTTCTCCTGACAGGGGAGGATGAGGGCAGCTTCAAAAGGCAATTCCTGGAAGAGGAAGCCACCCAGGACATCAGGACCATCATCAGCTCACTCTACTGGGTGAAGAAGCTCACTGAGGTCTGATGTTTCCTGGGATCCTCTGCTTCAGCCGATGGTTGTGGACGAAGAAAACCTGTCAATGAGGTGTTGCTCCCACGTCCAAGGCACAGGGTAGCAGTCAGTTCCTGGGGACAGGCTGACCAAGGGTTGGGCAAGCTGCAGGGTCACGACTGTCAGGCCTGAGCAGGAGGGGGTTATTTGGTAGAGGTGGTCACGGAGAAAACAAGATATCCCCTTTCCCAAGGTGGCTGAAGGGAGCTGAAGAGACCAGGATTTAGCCCCTGGGAAGAATGAGTCAGTCACAGGGGTGACCACAAGGATCTGTTATCACAGGATCTGTTATCGGTGGAAAATCTTCTCATGAGGGCATCAAAGCAGCTCCTTGTGTGCCAAAAGGAAGGGGGAAGGGGAGGAAAAGAGGACAAAGATCCTCTGTGCCAGGCAAGGAGAGGTCTGTGTCCCCCAGTCCCTCTGGGATGGTGCAGGAGGGGGTTCAAAGCCCTGTGTCCTTCCATTTGAGACCTTCTTCAGCCCATCCTGGCAGCCTTGGGGCTGGGGGAGCTGGGAGGGGAAGATCTCACTCTGACAGCACCACAGAGCTGGGCCCAGCGTGTGTTACTCACCTTGAAACTATGTGAGTAAACAGAGAAGGCTCTTCTTCCTGGTCCCACCTCAGCAATTAGGCTGCAGACTGGAGCAGATACCTGAATCCACCCTGGCAGATCGTGGCGATGCTCTGCTCTCTCCTGTGCTGAGTCCTCGGGCCAAGCCACCCAGGAGACGAGGATGGTGAAGCTCCAGTTGGCCTCCTGGGCCATCCTCTCCTATATGGAGCCTCTTGGAGATGTCCCACCAGGAGGAAAACACCCCTTTCCCATCACTTCTGGTGTGTTTCTATGGGAATAAATCACACGGGACTCCATTTTCTTCATGGTGGAAAAAGCCCATTCTTTTTATGCAATTTTACAGACCTTGTGTTTGACTCTATTTAGTTAGGAGCTTTCTTGACAATTATTGGTTAGTAACAAGTTGTTATTCTGTATTGATTAGTCACTCAGACACTCAGTGTGTACGTGTAGGAAATGTTGTTTGTGAGAGATAGTTTTCATTTTTCTATCTAATAGTGTAAAAACAGTTTATACAGGTGCCAGTTGTTTTTCACCCAGGAATAGATTGTTATGCTAACAAACTGTTCACAACAGGATTGCTTTCACATGGGAACTTGCAGAGTGTTAGCTTGCCTTAGAAGAAATGACAGGCTAGCCAGAGCAGGTCTGCTTTTATGAAGCCTTTCTTTATGAGTTTTCTACCTTACTGCAACATTTTTATAGCATTTTTTGTTGCTGAGCAGCAGTGACACTCATAGCTCACTGTGACATGGGGGAAGTGGAGCCAACTGGGAAGAACCAAGGCAGCACCAGCTGGGAGGAAGAGGTGATCCCACAGGGAAGGGACCACCCTGCTGGCACAGCAAAAGCGTCTGAGCTCCAGGTGTTTGGTGGCCACCACTGCAGCCATGAGTCCCATTGGATCCTGATACCTTCCACCTTGATCCTTGGGGTTCCCAGAGAGGCTTGGCTCTTCTCTGTGGAAAACCTTCATCCATCTTGGTGTCCTCTTCCCCACCAGTGCCTAGAGGAAGAGGAGAGACCACCCTGGACCATCCTAGAGGGAAGAGAGCAGCCTCCAGAGCAGGACTGCAGCCAGCTCAGGGCCAGGGAGCCTTGCAGAAGACTGAAGCATTCATTTCCAGGATTGACAGTGGTTTCTGCAGGCAGGAGAGGGAATAAAATGGTCAAATTCCTCACTATTCCATGCCTGTCCTCCCACACAGAGTGAAGGAATGCGGGAGATACCGCAGCAATGCCATGCAAACACCCTGGAGAGGTGAACCTCCTCCTGACCCCAGCTAGGAGAGAACAAAAACTGTTTTAAAGACTTTTGGAGCATCTTGATGCATCCGTGGGAGGCTTGTGGGCACTGGATGTGTGGGAAGCAGCTGATAGATCAGTAGCCTGAAGGAACACTGAACACATGGACATCAGAGATAACTGGTGGAGACAGAGTCCAGAGATGTTACAAAGACCTGTGGCTATTCCCACACTGGGAATCATGTAGAAATAAATTAATTAACCATTTCAGAGCTTTAGGTACAGGCAGCAGTATCTGTGCTGACACAGACACAGGGATTCTCTTTGGGAATGAGGCCATGGATGGGAGGAGAAGGGGGAAAAGGTCTCTGTGTTGCTGAGGTTCAAACTGGGTGACCTCAACCATAGCAGGAAAAAAGAGAGGGAAAAAAAAGATTAAGAAATGGCAGCTTCCTCAGGCTGATTCCTTGCAAGACTTACTCAGAGTTACATCATGGTGCTTATTAGGGTGCAGATCCCTGAGATCCACGGCTTCAGAGCCTCTGGAAGGATCCCTGGGGATGTGGGACTCCCTGGGCAGTAGGGATGGCACCCCAATCCCAGCTGTGCCACTGAGGCCAGCTCCCCAAACACAGGCACTGCTGATGTCCCCACAGAGGGACTCAGCTTTGTTTTGGAGCCCAGGGAGATGAGGGGTGTTTGGGCTCGGGGCTGCCTCCTGTGTGTGCTCATCCCGGTGTTCCGTGGCTGGGGCTGCACAGCTGCTGCCAGCCGGAGCTGAGGGCAGCTCACCAGCTCCCCTGAGTCGGCTCTCACCACACCCAAGGCTGTTCCAAGACCACAGGGCTATTCCTCACCACACAGCACTGAGAAGGTGGTTTCCCTGCATTGGCTGCTCTTCTGAACCAGGAATGCTGGGGTGTCCCTGGAGGTGCCCAGGGAACAAACCCAGGTAGGGGGCTGATTCCCTGTGGAAGGGCAGGATGCAGAGGTGGGGCTCACAGGGGAATCCCAGCCCAGGAATCTCTGCTCTTGAGTGTGAGATTCTTGCTGAAGGTCTTCTCTCATGGATGCTCATGAGAAACTGTGCTATGGGACTGGCCTGGATGTTCCATGGGTATCCATCCTTGGGTTTGGGGGTGTGCAGGCAGGGAGCAGGTGAGCCACCCCAGCGCCTGCACCCTGCCTGCTGAGAGAGCAGGGAGTGTGTCAGGAGCATCCCCAGTGCTGCCACCGTGCCAGGACTTCCCACAGAGGAGCATCCAAACGTGCCAAGCTTAGCAAGTCTGGCCAGGAATTCAGCGCTGGAGCCGTGGGCCCCAGGCCCGTGTCCTGATGCACAAGTGGCTTTCCTCAGCTTTGGATGGGTTCCAGCAGCCTGTGGGCTGCTCCAAGGGGCCTCTCCCTCCCTGCATCCTCCTCCAGGGTTTTGCAGGATTTCACCTCCCGTACTGGGAAACAAAAGCAAAAAGAAACACCATGGCTTTTTTATTATGAAGTGCAGGAACGGCGTGTGAATGAATGCCTGGGCAGTAATTCAAGTGGGAACATGGAGCTGGAAAGCTTTCAGCTCCCAAACTCGACCCGAGCCTCAGCACTTGGCTTTGTGCTGCTCATTCATCCACAGGGTTATTTTTGGATTCCTCCTCCTGGGAGAACAGGATTAGTTTTGTTTTTAGTGTTCCTTGGAGAGCAGCTTGCTGAGGGAATGACTTACCAGAGAAAAACCCTCTTGGCTGGTGGGGTCTGCTCAATTCCATGATTCTGGGTGGGAATCATGATGATCTTTCATGTTCCTTGGGGATTTATTCCCACTCTGCTCTTGCTGGGGCTTGGATATCTCATTACCTAAGGATAATTATCTAGAGATAATAAGCTAACTGCATCTCTGGGTTGCTGGGCCTTGTCTTTATTGCTTTCCTGGGGCAGCAAGCAGAGTAGGTTAAGATTTTTATTTATTTACCCATAACTGTAGGCCCTGTCAGGATCCAAATCAAAGTTTTGAAGGAGATAAAGCTGGAAAAATGTTGGATGAGCGACCAGACTTGCCTGTGCCATATTTTCTTAGAATCATAGAATGGTTTGGGTTGTAAGTGACTTCAAAAATCATCCAGTTCCAGACATAATTTTCTCCTAGTTCAACCTAAAAAGGGGATCTTAGCCTGGAGAGAAGGAGATCCAGAGCAAAGAGGAGTGGGAGAAGCTGTAAAGACCCACCCCAAAAAACGCTCAGAGTGTAGGATCTGATTTCCCAGGCAGGGAGAGATGTGGGAGTGGATATTTAAGAGGATGTTTGGGTCTCCTCTCACTGCCAGCAGTCACTTGGAGGCTTGGACGGAGCTGGCAGCTTCCAAGGCTTCAACTCCTTCTTGGCTCCAGAAGAAACGAGTGGGATGAGGAAACCTGGATTCCTCTCTTCACAATAAGTGTACTTTAAATTTAGCCACAATGGCAGCTGTTGGGAGCCCTCCCTATAACCCTCCTTTATCTTCCTTCCACCACTCCATCCCTTCGTCCCTGTTTTCCTCTATCCTCTCCTCCAGCTAGGCTGTGCATGGGCAATTGGGACTGTCTATACAGCTCTCTTATTCCAATTAGCTCACTAATTAGAGCCTCATCAGGGGTGCTGCTGCACCAAGGATGTCTCCAAGGCAAGAGCTGCTAACGAGGCCAGGAAGTCCCTGGCAGGAGCCCTGGGGATGGTGGGGTGGGATAAAGTTCCCTCTTGTCCTCTTGGACAGAGCAACAGATGCTGGTGTCCCAAATTCCTTGCAGTGGGATGTAATTTGGGGATTTTTTTTGGGGGATGGAGGGGATTTGCCTTAATTTCATTTGTGGGATGTGTTCCAGCTGTTAGAGGAGGACCCCATCCACCTCCCACTCCCCTCCAAATGGCTCCTGAGCCAAAGAAACCATCTCTGTTTTGGCTCTGTAGGATATTTGGGGGATTGCCAGGTGATTTGAGGTGTGGAGTGGGGTTCTCTGGTCCATAGGAGCAAACCCAAGGTCATTTTGTGTGTGTAAAACCAGAGAAGTGTGGGGTTTGTGGCAGCAGGTGCCCTTTAAATCCCACCTCTCCATGTAACCAGGGGATCAGTTGAGTAGCTCATCTCTCCTGAACCTAAAGCAGGACTTTATGGGGAAGCAAATCAAGGAGAAGAGGGGGAAAAAAAGAGGGAAAATGAATGAGGGTAGATATTCCTGGACGGATCTGCCACAGGAAGAGGCAATGGACAGGCCTGTGAGATGGGGACCACCCACCTTTCTCCATCACTCAAACCCTTGGCTGGCATCACTGTGGGTTCTGCCCTCCTAGAGAGGGTTAAATCCTACTGGGGGGCTTAAATAGCACCAGGACAAATTGGGGAGCAAAAGCTGGGACAAGAACTGACCCTTTTTGGGGTATGGGAGAAGCAGTGTGGCTGGGGAGCAGCAGTGAACTCTGAGTGCTGCCTGGATGCCCATAATCCCACCCGGAGCCCCCACATCCCTGTGTCTGCCAGGGTGAACCCCAGGATGGGTGTCCCACAGGGACAGGGAATTTGGGGACCCTGCAGGCAGTGACAATGTGAAGCCAGCAGGTTTCCTGAGCACTTAGGGGGAGCCACAGCCCAGCAAACATCAGATTGAACGGAGATGCTGAGGCTGAGAAGCCTCAAAAAGAGAATTGAAAACCACATGGCTAAAATTGGACTGAATCAGTCAAATCCTCACCTCCCTGGGCTCACAGCAAACCCTGTGGGGATTCTGGGGCTGCTCCCATCACTGGGTACAAAACACAGAGGATGCTGATGGCTGGAGGGGCAAAAAGAGTGGGAATGGCCATGCCCTGAGTGGGAATCACCACCCACCTTTCCCCCAAAGACACACTCCTAAGTCTTTAAAAATTAATATAAAAATAAACTTAAATAATTAGGTGGGTTTTTTTTTAAGTTGGTGTCTCCTGTGCCAGCAGGTTTGATGCCTCAGCAAGGAGCTGCTCAGACCATTGGACTCACTAAGGCAGAGATGAACCACACAGGAAGCTGAGGAAAGGAAATTCACAGGGAAAAGAACAAAACAGCAGGTATTTGCTGAGACAGCAGGTAAAAACTCCCCTCTCTGTGCTAGAGAAATGTAAGAGGGAGAAAATGTTGTAGAAATTTAGCTTTCAGAGTCCAGCTGGATGCAGCAGGGATGTGGCCAAACCTGGATGAGGAAAGGTGTTTCTTGAGTAAAGTTATGTAAATGTATGAGCCAAGTCAAGCTTAAAGGGATTATCTGCCATTTTGAGGGAACTGTGATTCTGTTCAGTCAGGTAAAAATTAACACTGATAGTTTTAATGCCCATAACTCTCAATAACAACCTGTATTATCCACCCATTTGCTTGTTTTAATATATATTAACTATTCTGTGTTGCACACTAATATATAACATCTCATAATTGAATGTAATAACTATTTTGTAATTGCATTACCATTTGACCGAAGAGAATATTAATGGCAACACCTGATCGATGAGCTCCAGACAAAGCAGTGGTGTGTAAACTTTGGAGCCAAGGGACTGGGAATTTCACACCAGCTCCTCCCAGATCCTTGTTTTCTTTGCTGCTGCCACAAAACTGCTATAAATTAAAGCTGTAAGTGGAAAATAATGCTTGTGAGGCCAAAGAAAGGAGAATTTTAACCCTCCTTTCTCGGTCTTTGTTCCATGAAGTAATAAGAAAGGGGAATTGTTTCTTTTTCACTTAGAAATCCCTATGTCTCCCTGCCTGAGGGAGCTGAGCCACTGCTTCACTCCACGGCCTTGGGCAACCACTTAATCTGCCAGGATCTGTGTCACTGGGTTAATCATATTTACGTGCCTTTTATGAGGGTTAATGATTAGTCTGGGAATGTTTGCATGGACTTTTCCAGACGCGACTCCTTAGATAAACGCTCCGTGGTAATGCTTGGGGCTGGCAGGGGTTAAATGCAGGAGGAGGGGCTCTGCTTTGGGGCGGGAGGGACTCCGAGAGGACTCAGAAGCCATCCCCAGCCCACCCCAGGCTGCCGGCGGATCCCTGGCCCTGCAGACGAGATGGGAAAGCGATTTTTTTGTGGACACAGGGAATTGTGTCCGGCCAGAGCCGGAGCTCCGGCCACATCCAGCCTGGGGAAGGCTGCTCTGTGTTTTAACGGGGGAGCTCCTGTTTCACAGAAATCCCCACAATGCATGGGCTGCAATGGGGGATCCTCTTCATGGGGACTGCCAGTGTCACCGAAATTAGGAAATAAAACCCCTTAACACCGCCGGAGTTTTAGGAAGCTGACGGTTTTATCCTCCCGGATACAGGGCGGGTGGATCCGCCTAAGGTGCGCTCATGGCTCAGGATGATACATGCCTTCATTTAGAGGCGCCAATTCATCACAAAATGTTACATATGAAGGTCTTCGCTGTCAGGGTGAGCTGTGCTCTTGTTTTTGACCAATTTGTCACTCAGGCGGCCGTGGAGCCCCTGACCGGGATTGGGCAGCCCGGAGTTGATACCGAGCCCGCATCGTGTTCCGTGAGCGTGACTTCACCGACAACGCCTGCACCGGGGGATCCCCTCCATGTGGGTGCTCTCTTATGGGGGTGCCTGTATTTGGGGGCACCTCCCTAATGGGCGCTGCCTGTAAGTGGGGGGTCCTTCAGGGGGTCCCTCCCTAATGGGGACTGCTTGTAAGGAGAGTGCCCTTAATGTAGCCCCTCCCTAACGGGGTCGCCCCTAAATGGGAGGCTAGTTCCTAATGGGGACTGCCTGAAATAGTGGCCCCTTCACTGGGGGCTCCACAAAATGGGGGACCCTTTAATGAGGCGCTGCTCATAATAACTCTTCCCCCAACACGGTGGGCTCTCCATGCGGCCCCTCCTCTATAACGGGAGGCTCGCTGCAACGGGGACCCCTCCCTACAGCGGCTCCCCGGCTGCGGGTGTCCCCCATAACTCGGGAGGTGTCCCCTCCCGAGCGCAGGGACAAAACCCCGACCAGCTCAGCGCACGTGAGTCTGGGCTGTCCTCTGCTGTCCCGTCCCATCCCCTCCCCTCCTCCGGCCGGCCCACACGCACACCCAGCCCTCCTCCTCCTTCTCCACCTCCTCCTCCTCCTCCCACTTCCTCCGCACAAGGCGGGCTGCCGGCCGAGCAGGGGCAGCGCCCCCCGTTCCCCCGTCCTCGCCGAGCCCCAGCCGAGCCCGCAGCGATGCGCCGGGGGAGGCACCGCGCCGCAGCCGCAGGTGAGTGCGGGCCCGGAGGGATGCGCGTCCCGCAGGGGCCGCGCTGGAGCGGAGGGATGCGGGGGCAGCGGGGCGGGGGCACCCCCAGCCAGCGCCGCGCTCGCCTTGGGCCCCCTCGGCGGGTGAAAGCCCCGAGCGGGGCGGGATTCCTGCACGCCTTCCTCGGGATCGTCTGCTTCTCCTCGGGCCGTGCCAGCAAAAACGGGTTCCAGGCTCCGGATCCCGGGATTTTACCCATTTATGGACACTTTGGATCCTGCGGCTGATTCGCAGCCCGAGTGCGCTCCAGCTCCTGCGAGAGGTTGATTCTGGCGGTCGCCGGAGTGTTGCCCACACTGATGCGGTGGCCGCGGCTGTGCGGAGGGGACAGAAGGACAGAGGTGGCCACGGCCACCCAGCCATGCCACATCCACAGCTCGTGTCCTGGCAAGGGCCTGCGAGCACCGAGGGGGTCCCAGCCGTGACCGTGGCCAGCCTGGGATGTGAGGGACATCGATGGGAATGGGATCGATGCCTTCTGGAGGGGTTTGAATCCCCCGAGTAGAAGGGGACGCAGCCCCGGAGCCTTTCTGGTCACTGCTCATGGCTCCCTGAAGTTTTGGGTTTTTTACTTAAAAGTGAATATTCCTTGGCGGGAGGGGGGTTTCAGCTTTAATCGCAGACAAGCCGTGGCTTGGTGCGTGCATTCCAGAGGGATACTGCCTTAAAAAGCAGCTGGCTTGGTCCATGAGAAGGCTCCGGCTGGGCTTTTGCCCGCGTGGCAGAAGCTCGGGAGCTGCAAACTTTGTGGAAAAGGGACAAGAAGCGGAATGAGAGAGCGGGGACGGCGGACGCCTCTTGTTTGTTCCCCCAAATGACCGAAGGTGTGGGGGGCGATGCCGGTGAGCTCGTCCGAGCCCGCCGGACGTGGGAATGGTGATCTCCTGGGCAGGATCCCAAAGCCCCGAGGCTGTGAAAGCAGGATTGCAGCGGCCGGGGAATCCGCCTCCTTCCCGCTGGATCCGGGGAGACCCCGGGACCCCCCCGTGCCGCAGCACCTCGGGGGCTGGGCTTGCTGGCTGGCAGCGGGTTTAGGAGATTTTCTTGCTCCATTGCTGCGGTTGGCCGGGAGTTGGCGGCTGCTTTTGGCATCGCGTGGCGATGGAGGAGGCGGAGGCTGCGGGGAGAGGCTCCGCTCCGGGCATCGCGTCCCGGGGAGGAAATCCCGGGGAGCCTGCGAGCCCCGCTGAAAGCGCACACGGGCGCATTGCTGGCAGCTGTCGGGCCAAAAAGAGATGTCTGAAGTGTTCCCAGCGGCCTCGGCAGGCCGAGGAGCAGCGGGAGCCCTCCCGCGTCCTTTGGACACCCAAAACGCGGCAGGCAAGGCTCCCGCGGGAGCTTCTCGGGGAGGTTCCGCTGCTGGTGGCGTGGGTTCCAACCTCTGCGCTTGGTTTTACTTTTACTCCTCCCGACCAAACGGCCCCGTGTGGGAAACAGCCCTGGGAAGAGGGAAAAAAGGAAAAGAAGATTAAAGAAGAGCAATAACGGGCTGTGTTTATTCCACCCGCTGCTTTTCCCAGCTGTGGGGTTTTGGAATTCCTGGCTGCACGTGTTGGGGTTCTTGCAAGCATCCTCCAGTGCCGATTCCCACGTGTCCCTCTCCTCCCCCGCTGGCTGGGATATTCCCAGGGGGAAAAGGCTGATGGTGACAGCCAAAGCAGAGCAGTTTTCCTGGCGTGGTGCAGCTGTGGGGATGGCACTGGTTGGGCAAAGTGCCTGTGGATTTCATGGAGAGAGGGAGCTCCTCTCCCGAATTTGGTCGATGAGCTCAGCCCTATCAGACATTCCCTGTGCCCGGCTCCGGGCCTGCAGTGGGATCACTCGTCCTGCTCTGCAGCCCTCCAGCCAGAATTTAACTCGGAGCTGGGTGAAACAGGGCGACTGCATCGATCCCGAGGTGACAGCGGGGCCAGTGTCACAATCCCCCCACGGTGGGGAGTTGCAGATCCCCGGGGCTTCAGGGAAAGGGGAGAAGCAGCAGGGAAACTTCGGGACTCACAAGATGCTGGATTTCTGTCCCAGCTTGTCCACCCCTAACATTGCCACAGCTGGGAAGGGATCCCATGCCGGCATCCTCAGGGAAATGGATTTAAACACCACCCTGCCTAGAGATCCCTTTTGGAAGGAAAATAACCCAGCCTGGACTTTTCTTCAAGCTTGCTTCCATTTGAAGGGAGCTGCTTTCCCTGGATCTGAGTGCTGGCAACTTTAATTGGTACTGCATGTCTTGGGAATGACCCTGGGGACTTATCCTGAGGATAAAACTGTTGGAACTGATGTGGGGGAGCTGCTTCCAAGGGTACAAGCAGGGAGGGAAGCCCCGCGGCTCCCGTGGGCGTTTCCAGGGGATTCCAGGGAAGCAGTATCCTTCCTGGGAAGTGATGAATTGTTGAAGCTGGCATGAGAAACCCACCGCGAGGGCTCAGTGAGGGGTGCAGCCTCAGTTGTGCTGTTTTGGGGAGGGCTGGGGAGCTCTGGTTCCCTCCTGGCGAAGCTGCAGGAGCACCAGGGGCTCACTCCCTTATCTCCCCCACAAGTCTCCCCCCATATCTGCTCTGTTTCCCCTGCTGTTGATGTGGCTTTTATCTTATCTCCACGTGCTCTTCCTCCATTTCCTCCTTGGCTCCTCTGCTAACGCTGCCGCAAAAGGAAGAAAAAAACACCCAAAACTGGAGAGATCCTCCTGCAGGGAATCCATCCCTGAGCTTGGGGTTGCTGGGCCGTGCTGGGTGACAGGGGGTGACATTTGGCCATGCTGGGAGGGTGCTGAGTGATGCTCAGGTTTGTCCTGGGCTGCCTGGGTGATGTACAGGATGCTCAGGTGATACTGGGGGATCCTGGCTGATGCTCCAGTGCTGCTCTTGGGGCTCAGGTGATGGTCAGGTGTCTCAGTGGGATGCTCAGGAGATGCCAGTGGTGCCAGGTGAGCTCAGAGAACACCTGGGGTTCTTGGGATGCAGGGCTGTGCTGGGACAGGCTGCCAGCTCCACCTGCTGGCACCCACCGCCTGTCCTGCGGGCCAGCCCCACCCCACAGCAGCCCCAAATCCCCTGAGGAGAGGCTGAGCTGCTCCCTGGCCCTAAAAACCTCACTTTGCTTTACAAGGTGAAGCCGGGATGGGAATTTTGGGCACTCGGTGTCTGTGTCTGCTGGCTCCTCACCTGAGCTGACCCAGCTTTGCTCCCTGCTGCCTGCAGCAGAGGCTCTTTCAGCCCTGGAACCAAAGCAGCCAGAGCTGTCCAGGACTTTTCCAAGGAGAGGGATGGAGAAAAGCCCTGCCAGCCTCCAGGACTCCCCCGCTGGCGGGGAGGGTGGGAGCCTGTGGAAAGGGAGATCCCTGCACAATGAAAACCCTCAGGACTGGCCACGCTGTGGGAAGTGTACAGAAGACTGTGCACCTCCAATTAATGCACACACAGTTATTGGACCTGCAGTGACATTCCCCTGTGGAAATGGATGTGCAGAGATTCCCTGTCTTGAGCCAAAGCCTGCCTGATGCACTGAAAATTCGTGCTAAGATTATCAGATATAATTATAGTTGTTTTATTGGTGTTTTCATCAGAAGTAACTTGTTTGGAGACCAAATATTAGTCAAACAACTTTGACACATTGCTACTTTTGCTAAGTTTACTTTGTCTTTTTACTAGAAAAGAAAATGATGTGGGAAAAGCTTTTTATGTTACAGAAGTAAAACTGTGTTTCAACCAAACTTAGCCCAGGAATTCGTGCCAGGATTTATGCATATTTGGAACAAAAAAGAGATGCACTAGCCTTCTGTGTTCTGCCTCTAAAGGCTTGAAATCGATGATGATGAGGCTGCATTTTTCAGAGATATTAACAGGAGAACTGGGAAATCTGGACAAAGTAATTGAAAAAAATGTCACATGATGTTCTGTCCATTATATTGAGAATCACCACCGTGGGAGATTTGGAGTGAGCAGCAGCAGAGGAGAACTGATGGAATGTTTGAGTCAGGGTGGTGCAAGAGGCTGGAATGTCAATGGCTAGTGCCTTAAACAATGGAGCACTTGCAGTGACTGCCCAAGTGCACAGGGCACACCCCCATGGGGCTGCAGTTACCTGTTGGACAAGATAAGGGCAGAGGCTGATAAGAGACAAATCCTGCCAAGTGCCATGGTGCTTTTTGGTGCTGCCAATGTCCCTACTCTTGTGGCTCAGCTGTTAAAACTCCCCCTCCTGGGACATTCAGGGTTAGCCTGCAGATATTCATCCCCTCTGCTGGGCCATCATTGGCCTCTCAAGCGCACCTACACTTCAAAGGTGTCACAGGCAAACAAATACACCGAGGTTACCTCATCCAGAGTAAAATTCCCTGCCTCAAGAGAGGTACCTGGACGTTTCCACCAAGCCTGAGCATTTTATTAACCCATGGAATTTGTGTTTCCTGCGCTTCCCTCACCCCAGATGGATCATCACAGTGGAACTGGAACCTCCCAGTGTTGTTGGAAGATCCATGGGTGGTGGGATCCTTCTGCTCTTACCCTTTCCTTCCCTTTCTTTTCCTGTAGGCATTTTTGAAGTGTTATTTTTATGCTTTTATATTGCCATATTACAGTAGACAATAACCAAAACAGCTTCACTGCAACCAAATTGTTCTAAAACAAACCCTATATATATATATATATATATATATACACGTATGTATGTATAAATCCCAGTTATTAATTTTCTCACTCTAATCAGGGCCCAGAGATCCTTTAACAAGGACCTGGGCTATTCTCCCTTAGTAGTCAAGATGGGCACATGTCTTGACACTCAAGGTTCATGTGGCAACAGATTTTTTTGGGTGCAGTTCCCTTTATGCTTTTTCAGAAAGATGATGCACATGGATGCATATGGTCCTGATTGGCTGATATTAGTTACCACCCAGCTTACTGGCCAATAGTTGTCTGTGTCCATAACTGTCTAGACTAGATTCCCCAACAGCCTAGACTGGTTGAGTTATAATTAGGGTTATCTATAACTCTGGGACCTCTAGGCAAGCTGTTAGCCACCACAGTTTCCCCTTTCTGTTTTTAAATACAAGGCAATGTTTGTCGTCTCCTGCAGGGCCCTTTGCAAAAAGGATGATAAACACTGCACAATGTCCAAAATAATTGACACAAATAATAAGCCTAGGTTGGTGAGGCTCTGCATCCAACTCGACAAGTCTAGCCTTACCAGTTGTCTATTCCACATACCTTCAAAAAGGATTTTTCAAGCATGTCTGAGAGCCATCAAGCATGGCGTCTCAGGGTGGTATGCCACACACTATTCACATTCATAACCCAATTACACAAACGAAGAGAATTGCATTTAACTTCTTACAAACTGTTAAATGTCAAAAACTATCATGCCTCTGCTTTTGATCTGTCCCCAGTGGGTTAGACTTACAGGGGCAGTTTGCTTTTACATGACCTTGTTGCCCACAGCCATAACACTGGTGTGTTACCTTCGGTTGCAATGCAAGATGTCACCAAAAGCATTCTATGGTATTCTATTACCATCTGTTAAAACCAGGCGGGGCAGTGTTCTTTATCTCTTCCATGACCCGCCCTCCCTCCGGGGAGATATCTTCTGTTAATGGGCCATTGAGTGTCACTGCATGGCTGATAAAATTACATCATCCCATTGTGAGATGCTCCACCCAGGGGAAGGAGCCAAGCATTCCTACCTGGATACAATCTGAGACTTTTCAACACTACAGGCAGCCTTTTCCACTGGATTCCCAGAGGAAGACCAGACCCGTCTACTTCACCACTTGATCTTCAGAGGAAAACTACACCCTTCTAAAGGATCACTGCTTCAACAGAACCACACCTGTCACTTGAGGAAGACTGCAGCCACCACTTAGTCGGACTGCAAACAACACCCTGACCCCAGGGTGTCAAGTCAAATTCTGACTATGTCAGTGGGTTGTTGTTTTTTTTTGTACTACTGCATTTTACTTTAATTTTCCTATTAAATTGTAGGGATTTTTAAAATTTATACATAACAGTGAAGAACTGTTATTTCTATTCTCATATCTTTGCCCGAGAGCCCCTTAAATTCTAAACTGTAACAACTGGAGGGAGGGGTTTACATTTTCCATTTCAAGGGAGGCTCCTGCCTTCATTAGCAGACACTTGTCTTTCAAACCAAGACAGAATCAGCTGACAAAGCAATACTATCTGATTCAGTCCCAATTTTAGCACATGCATTGATTATTTATTTAAGGATGGATTTTCTTTTGGTAATAAATCTACAGCCCTTTTGCAGTCCTCATTTGCACTATCCCATGCCAATTTTCAATTAATTGATTTCTTGCATCATTATTCATTATTTGCTTTTCCATGGCATCTGTAAGAGATGGTCCAAAGATCCCTCATCTGCCTCATGAGCACCATCAAGAATGCAGATTGAAGCCCCCCCTAAGGACTGAGACCCTTACAATTCTAACACAGGGGCACTGGCCTGACTGAAGCGGGATGTCTGCCAAGTGTTACCTGCAAATGTGCTCGCTGGACCAAGACTGCTTTCCCATGGGAACCAGTCCTGAAACAATGGGTCCTGCTCACTGCTGGGACTGGTTTGTCCTGTTCGGAACGGGACTGTCTGTACGTGTTCTCAATGGACTTATTCTCCACTGTCCTGTACCTGTTCCCTCCACATACCTTCCTGTTCCCCCACCCTGGCAGTAGACTATAAAAGACCCCTGAGTTTACCAGAGAGTTTGAGATTCTCCCTGATGTGACAAGACAGACCTATTGGCTGGCTGGACGATGAGGATTTTGTGTCTCTGTTGGTAGCTCTTACCCCCTCCCACCTCTTTTTCTCTCTCTCTTTCTCTCTCTCTCTCTCTCTCTATCTATCTTTTATCTCCTTTCTAATCCTTCTATCACATTTGCTGTGGGCACTCAATAAAAGGTGAATTTGTTTTGATTAATACTGAAATCCCTTGCTGTGTGTCTTTTGCACTCTGAGATTGGTAAAACAAACCATCACAACCCCTGCTTGTACTAGATTCTGACAACATTTCGTGTCCTCTCTATGAATTACACGTATGGTTCCTTGGGGCCCTGTTTGATCATGGAATACCTCTGGGTTGGTGTTGACATGTCTGCAACCTTCAGCAGGGCTTGTATCCCTAAGTGTTTTGCCTGTACTAATATTCAAGGATGTAGGCGTGCCTGTAACTGAAGATTGTCAACAGGGGGCAGTCCCATAAGCTGAGAAACCCCAGCCCCAAAGGGTGGATCTTGCTGCAGTACCTCTAAATTGCGCTGCCCTTGATCCTCTGCATATCGCTGCCAGGTGGACTCAAACATCATCCATTGAACTGAGGGACAAAGCAGCTTCACTGTCTGTTTAATATCTGAAGGTTTCATCTCATTGGCAGTAAGAAACACTAACATCCTTGCTACTGCCAGAGACCACAGTGTGTGTTTGGTGGCTGGCTGGCACAGTTCAGAGAGGACCTGTCATTTAGGGAAACATACGTCTCAGGTGTCAGGTGTCAGCACCAATCATCCCACCCATAGGCTGTGAGCCACGCGATGGCAGTGGGGGCATGGGCACAGATATCTTTTCTGCACCTTTAAGATCCCCATCCGCAATGGCAGTCGGCTTTACCCTCCTCCAGAAGCTGACCAGATCGTAGGCAGAGATGGTGACCGATACCGGCAGTGTGGCAGAAGCGTTCTCTCATGGGTCAGCAAGAGTATGATAGCTTGGTTTCCCTCCGTTAGGATGTTGTGAGCTTAATAATGAAAAACGTCCCTTGGACTTCTGGAGCCCTGGCTGTGTATGTGGCAGGGTACCATGTCCCGTGGTCCTGGGCACCAGCAACCTCCCACCAGAGCTTCGGCACCGGGTGCCGCTTCACTTCTGGGCTCTGCTCGCGCCGTTGGTGGGTTTGCCGAGCGGTGTCTGGGCTGCAGCCGCAGGCAGGGGTGTGCCGAGTGCGTTACCGGCGATATGGAGCGCGGAGCACAGCGATGGCTCCAGTGCCACGACGCGGGCGGGCTTGCGTGCAGCACAAACGTGTCTGTTGCCGGTGGCAGAAAAAGTCTGATGGCATGGCAGGACGGTGCCACAGGGACAGGGCGCTCTGGTAACAGCCGCTCTCCGGTCGGTTTCTTGCCCTTCCTTTCTGCCCACACTCCTGAAGTGGCACTCACTCCTCTGCCAGATTCTCCCTGCTCTCCATCCTTACGGGATGATCCGCTGGGCAGTGCCCACAGCACATCAGCTGCGGCTTTTGAGCTTTGCTTGGCTTTTATCTGTTTTAAACTGTGCAATACCAAACACCAGGTTGTTTAAAGGTGTCCTAGGTTATAATATTGGGGTTTATTCCATTACTACCTGGAGCTGCAATTCCTTTTTCTTCCCTTATCTCGTGACTCAGAGATAAGTCCCTCCAGGAGGACCTATTCTTTTAGCCACATGACTGATAAGATCACAGCATTCTATTGTGAGATGCCACACCCAGAGGGAAAGAGCCAAATGATGTCCCTCCAGGAGGACCCATTCTTTTAGCCACATGACTGATAAGATCACAGCATTCTATTGTGAGATGCTCCACCCAGAGGGAGGAGCCAAACGATGCCATCAAGGATATAAGCGGGGTTGTGCAGACAGCAAGCAGATCCCCTCTTCCAAGAGGAACAGCTGAGACATTCTCTTCACTGGACCTCAGGAGGGAAACTACATCAGTCTACAGGACCACTGCTTGGACAGAACCACTGCCCTAGCCAGCAAGTGTCAGGTTGTATCTCAAATTCTGCCAGTTGTTCTTCTTTTGTGCTATTCTATATATTTAGTTCTTCATTCCCTTTTTCCTAGTAAATTGTATTTCTGGCTTAGAGCTTCTCACTGGTTTTGCTCTTCAAACCAGGACACTTATTCTCTCTCTTTTCCAGGAAGGCGAGCTCAGCTCTCCTGTGGGGACACCGACACCAACCTATAAATGGCCTCAAAACGGTACTCACAGCCTGCAGACCCTGTGATTCTCAAGAAGCTGCCTCGTCTGGAGCCTGCCACCAGCTTCCTGCCAAGGCAAATCCCAGGCACATGCAGCCCTGTGCCCCACCCTGGCTCTGAAAGTCATTTCAGCTACACGGGCTCCTACTTTGCCTGCCCACTGCAGAGCCCCAAGGGCCCCGAGCAGCCCCCAGCTGGCTGGAGCCCCACGCCCGCCTACCTGCACTACGGCCCCGGTGCCCTGAGCCAGCCCGTGCCAGCTGAGGGGCCACTGCAGAACTTCCTGCTGTGCCCACCAGAGAGCCTTGACACCAGGCTGCACCCCCTGGACAGCTGGAAGAGCACAAAGAGCCTGGTAAGCCAGGACCAGCTGAGGGCCAAAAAGAAGCTGGACAGTCCCAGGTGCCCCTTGGCAGTGAAGAAGCCGGTGGTGGTGAAGAAGGCAGTTTCTCTAGCAGTCCCCAAGCCAGTGTACGGTGCCCCCGCCTCCTTCTTGGCTCCCAGGATGGCTCTGCTACTCGGGAAACAAGCAGAGAGCCTGCAGCAGCAACCAGGGCAGGTAAACTGGGCCCTGCCCCCTGCCACCCACCCTCTGCACCCCAGCGAGCCCCACAGGAGCGATCCCTGCACCAACCACAGCCTCCTGCTGCTGCCCTCCAGCCTGGCCCTGCCTTCCAGGGAGCAGCTGAGCTCCCCCACTGCCTTACCCCACTACTGTGTCACCTTTGATAAGCACGGGCCACCCCCCAGCACCCCGTTCCTGGAAGCAAGTTATCCTTCTGCCCAGAGTCAGAAGAAGATGCCAGAGGTCCCCTGGCCCAAGCTCCAGCTGCCTGACAGCAGCCAAGTGATGCAGGAGAGGTCAGCAATGTGCTACCCACCCCACCCATACCTGCTGTCACCCCACAGAGCTGGCCCCCTCTACCACCCCCCAGCTCCCACTGTGGGGGAGCCCAGTGCCCTACCCAGCTGTGGCTATGTGGCAAGCAGGGAGCCCTTTCCCAGCACCTACCTCAAGCCCCAAGATCCCAGCAGTTATTTTCCCAGCCCCTTGGAGCCCCATGTGCCAAGGACAGTGGGTGCCAGGCTGGGGGCGGCGCTGAGGGATGCTGAGCCAGGCAGGGATGCCGAGCTGCCCAGGAACACCGGGTACCCAGGGTTTGCCGTCAGCCTGGGCGATGCATCCACGTTCCACGCCTCCTTTCCCGGCATGGAGCCGGGCTGTGAGCAGCACGGGGCAGACAGTCCGCAGTGGCGAGCAGCACCGAGGCACAGCAGCGCTTTCCAGCCTGTCTGCACCCCAGAGAGGCTTTCTGGGGGCTCCGGTGGGCTGGCTGAGACATTTCCCGAGAGAGGAGGGAGCTGGGAGAAACCCAGGCAAAGGGAGGAGGAGCAACTGTACCAAGGGAGGAGAAACAGCAGCCCGGCCCCTCAGGACACCCCCCATGGGGGACCAGGGGAAGGAAATGCCTGCAAGGTCAAGGATGCAGCCAAGGAGCTCATCCGCCCTTCTCTGTCCGTGACCCCCGTCAAAGGGCTGGAAGAGCTGAGGGACACCAAGGCTTTGTCATCCTCCCCACCAATGCCTGTGATCCACAACGTCTTCAGCCTGGCACCCTACCAGGAGTATCTGGAAAGGGCCAAGGTCACAGACCCCATTCTGTTCTGCAGGAAGCATCTGTGGGAGGACTCCTCACCCCAAAACACGGGTGGCAGCCAGGAGCCTGCTGCTGTCAGAGACTTCTCAGTGGTGTCCAGCCTGAGGTCAGGCAGTGATGCAGAGCAGAGCCAAGAGGAAAGTTGTTATGGGAGCATCCCTAAAAAGCCAAAGGCTGAGATCCAAGAGCTGGAGTCTCAGGAGGGGAGCCCTGACAGGGTGGGCACTGAGGAGCCACCCCCTAAGGAAATGGTGCTGGACCTTAGCTTCAAGAACAGACTTGTGGAAGCCGGTGACACCCAGTCACTCCCTGGCTTTGTGGAGGGGACACGGGACCGAGAGGATAAGGAGGAGAAAGAGGCTACAGGAGGGAAGGTGGGGTCAGGAGAGGGTGCACAGCCCCGGGTGCCTGAGGCGGACTCTGGGGACAAGAGCAGCTTCCAGAGCTCAGCCAACTTCATGTTCCAGAAATACAAACTGCTGCCCTCCCTCCCACCCAGCACTGAGCCCACCCAGCAGGATGGAAGCTCTCAAGGCCCCCAGCCCAGCCCCTGCAGCAGCACCCCCACACCAGCTCAACCAGCCTCCTCTCCATCCAGCACCCCTCTGTTGCCACAGTCCGGCCCCCAGCTCAACATCATCCTGGCCCCAAACCCTCCCCAGATCCTGGTTTCCAATGCCCCCTCAACTCCAGTGGAGGAGAAGGTGTTGGTGGTCCAGAAGGTTGGTGTTCTTCCCTCACAGACCCCCCCGGGGCAGTACTTCACCTCCCTGCACACCTTGCTCTGTGACACCATTTCAGGCTCAGTGTCCCGCTCCTCCCCGGAGCTCCTGCAGGAGTGGCTGAAGAAAGCTGAGCTGGCAGAAGAGCTGGGAGAGATGCCCAAATCCCTGCCCAGCCCCAAGAACGGCTCCAAGCCTCCCATTCCTCAGAAGCCCAGCAACGGCAAGGAGATCTGGCTGGCTTATCATGACGTGGGCAGGCTCCTCACTGACCTGCTCTCCCAGCTGAAGACCTTCATGTCCGCTTGCCCTTTCCCCCACGTCGTCCGGGCAGGAGCCATCTTCATCCCCATCCACGTGGTGAAGGAGAAGCTCTTCCCAACGCTGCCTGGGAGCTTAGTGGACCAAGTGCTGCAGAAGCACAAGGTGGAGCTGCGTCCCACCACCCTCTCGGAGGAGAGGCACCTGAGGGACCTGGAGCTGAAGAGCTGCACCTCCCGCATGCTGAAGCTCCTGGCGATCAAGTGGCTTCGTGAAATCTACCCTGACCTGCTCAACCTCCACTGGCACAACTCCATCCGGCAGCAGCTCGGTAGGTAGCCCGGCATCTCCTGGGGATGGGTCCCTGGGGCTCTCCCAGGGATGTTCCAGCTGCGCTTGCCCTCCAGGTGCTGCTGCTGCTGGGGAACATCCAAAGGTGCCTCAGCATCCCTGTCCTACCGAGGGTTCTGCCCAGCTTTTCCTCTGTGGGCTGTGGAGGGGGCAAGTTTGAGCTGTAAGGGAGAAAACTCATCCTGGGGGTATTGAGGAGGTTTCAGACAGTTCCAGACCACTTCTGCCCATCCAAGGGCGCAGTGTCAGACCTGACACCCATGGCTGTCCCATCCAGCTGGTGACTTCACTGCTCTGTCCAGATAACCTTTTGTGTCTGCTCAAGGCCATTAACAGCAACTTTATTTCTTCCAGGTTTAAGCTCAGATTCTGGCCAGCCTTCCAAGTAGGTAACTCCTCTTCCACATGGGTTTGTAGGAATTGATGGGATTGTTTTGTTGTTTTGTGGAGGTGTGTGTGTGGATTTCATGTGATGATGAGCAGCTGGAGCTGGCTGGGGAGGCTCTGCTCCCTGGGCTGGGCTGGAGCAGGGAATATTCGGGATGTGAGGATCTGCCCTCCCTAACCACTCCTTCCTCTCCCAGGTAGCCCTGGCACGGAGGCACTGAAAACTGACGGCAAAGTGACAGCCATGGACAAATCAGGGGAAAGGAGGCTCTGAGGAATGTGCCAAGGGCAACAGCCAAACGGTGATGGGAATGGGAAGGTCCTGAGTCCCCAGAGCCATGGATGCTGAGACCACCAGCAGCCCTGCAGGCAGGTGCTCAGCTCCCACCTGCATCCGGCTCCTCCAGGATGCTGATACCTTGCTAGGGACCCTCTGGGGATGCTGCTCAGGTGGAGGACAGCTCAGTGGTGCTCCAGGGACACACAGAGGGATGCTGCTGGAGGGTTATCCAGGCCCGCACATGGGCTCGAGCCCCTCACAGCAGCTGGAGCTGCTTTTCTTTGAGTGGATCATCTTCCAGTGCATGCCCTGCCTTCATCCATGACTGCCCTGGTGAGCTGAGTGGGAATGGCTGGAGTTCCAGAGGAGCTGGAGCAAGAGGAGCATTGAAATGGCCACAGCACCGTCCCCAGCCTTGGAAAAAGGGACTGCAGGGATGACATCCCACCTCCTCCTCTCTGAATGCTTCCTCCTGCTTTATCCACGCCATTCCCAATAACCATCCCCTTCCTCTGGCATTTTCACCTTTATAGTGCCACAAAGACCTGGCACAGCAGCAAGGGCAAGGGAATGATGACTTCCATAGTCTCAAACTAAGTTTTTTGTTATCATAAATGAAGACATTTTACAAATGTTCTGGATTTACCTTTATAAGGAGCTGCTGCCTTCAGGTCATGTGTTTTGTGTTATTTTTTTCTTTAAATGCTGTATTTTATATGTGTCTTTTTATTTAAACTAAAAAGCTGCAAGAAAGATTTAAAGACTCTTAAAGAAAAGAAAACCAAATCGCTTTGCATCCCAGATCCTGCCCCAAAGGAGAACATGGGAGATGCACGTTTAGGGACCACCTTGGTGCCAGACCTTGGAAGGAGGGATCCTTTCATCCCAAAGGGTTACGGGCATGCCAGGAGGGATGTTGGCATCCCAGGACTAAGGGACAGCCCCTCGCCCTGGGGGCTGCAGCAGGGTACACAGCAGAGGCCTTAAAAACTCATTGCTCAGGTGTTCTTCAAGCTGCTGCAGGACATGGAGGAACAAAACAAGGGTTACTCAAGTTTCATTTCACTACAGGGGATATTTATTTTAAACTAAGAAGATGGGGTGGGGGGGATGGGTAGAAAAGACCTTACCCAGACTGTACTTATTTTAGCCAAAAGGTGTGTGTCCTACTGGGGGTTTTCTGGGGGTGCCTTCCTGTTTTATTGTGGGCATGGGGTGGCTGTGGATGGGGTGGGTAAGGGGTATGCTGCTCTTCTCCTCACTCCCCCCACCACTCCATGCCTGTGCACAGTGATTCAGAAAGCAGTGTTTGTAAATAATGTTGGTTTTGTACATATATATGGTTCCAGGAAAAAAAGTTCCTTCCCTTTATTTAATTTTTTTGTAAGAATATGAAGAGTTGCCTCACCTGGTTTAAAAGAGTTTGGCTTGTTTCCAGACATGCCCTGCTTCTGTTTCTGTGTCCCAGTGTGGGCATAACGGGATCTCCTGGGGGTTGGAGGGTCCCCAAATCCTGATGCACTTGCCCTCTTCTGCCTGCAACAAGCCACGAGTGCTGTGCCCAGCCCCTCTGTCCCATCACTGCAGGCTGGATCCAGTGTCCAGGATGCCACCACAGGAGCACATCCCAGGCTCCACAAACTCCCCAGGTGACAGCCTGGGAAGAGGGTGCTGGTGGGTGTCTGAGCATCAGAAACTGGGCAGGAGAGTCTGGGGTGCTCAGGGATGCAGCCTGGGCTGAGCCAGTGGGGGCCCCTGAGTTCCTCCCCCTTGTGAGCCTCCAGCAGGCACAGAATCTGATCCCAAAGGCCAAGTGCTGCAATCCACCTCTGTCACCCCAGGTAGGGGAGCCCAGCAGGTGAGCACTGCCACAACCACACAAGCAGGGAGTTTTGGGGAGCAGCAGCAGGGTTTGGGGATCATCCTGCCCAGAGGGACAGGCCCTGCCCCTCCTGCTGCTGCTGCTGCTGAGTGCTGCATGAGGAGCAGAGGGAAGCTGAGACCCCTCCAGCTGCACCTGGGAGAGTGCAGAGGAGTTTGTGTGTTAATTGGGGACAGCTGGAATGGAGCCACATCCTCCCCCTGGGAATGCAGATAAAAGGCAGGGTCTGGCTGGGCCTTGGTGCTCTCTTCTGCAGGGGTGCTGCCAGGTGAGGGGTGCTGGTGGTCCTGGCCCTCCTTGGGGAGGTTTCTGTGGGCCAGGAGGGTGTTTGGGGCAGGGAATAAGGTCATGTCTGAGCCCAGGGCTGGTTCCATCCCTGTGCTGCCCTGGGAGCTTCCCCGGAGGTGCTGAGGCTTGGCACAGTGCCTCAGCGCTCTCTCTTGTCCCCCCTTTGGTCCCAGCTAGCTCCGTGAGGGGGGGGGGGAGCGCTGGCAACTTCCGTGTTTTCCGGCGAACCCTCGCGGGTATCTGCCGGTGCTGCGTGGGTTTGGGAGCGAGGCGAGTCCCGAGGCGAATAAAAGGAGAGAGACTTTTTCCCCCGCGGGCGATATCTCGGTTTATTACGGCCTGGTTGGGGAGGCAAAAACCGAGAGGACTGCTGCGTGCTAAGTTAAAGTTTGTCCGTGCCGCCTGGCCGATTCGGGGGCGGGGCGGCGCGCTCCGAAGCTGGCCGCGATCCAGGAGAGGCTGTGTGCAGAGCCGCGGCGCCGCTGCCGGCACGTGCGGGAGCCGCGGCGGTGGCGGTGAGGCTGCGGCAGCGATCGCAGGACAGTCCGAGACGGCCGCGATCGCCCGAGGCAGCGGCGGCGGTTGCGGCAGTCAGGGGCCGGGCGAGAGAGAGAGCCACGGCAGCACGCAGGAATCAGGCAGGAGGAAAAGCCCGCGGCAGCACGCAGGAATCAGGCGGGAGGAAAAGCCCGCGGGTCGGGCAGCAGCAGCGATCAGGGGCCAGGCGGGAGAAAAAGCACCGGGGCGTCCCCAAACCCGTTCTATAAGTACTGGATAGGGGAAACCCGGGGCGGCCAATGAGGTAACGCCACGGGGGGACTAGGGATAGTGGGGTGCAGGGGACTAATGGGAGATGGACAGATGGAAGGGTGCCAGGTCGTCTCTCGACCCCGCCGCGTGGCTGACAGATGGTCTGAGAGACGTAAACAGAGTGACTAAGGTAAACCGCGGGGGGAAATGGGAGAACCCGGGAGGTCGTTACAGATCGAGAGGGGATACATGGAATGACCTTATACATAATAGAACATATAATAACACAATTCCACAGCACAGGCTTTCCTGGGCTGAGAGGCTGCTGGGGAGCAGGAGGGGGTTTAATGAGGAGCTCTGGGGATGGGAAGCTTGGGAAGGGGCCAGGCCCTGGGATGTGGGAGCTGCAGAGCCCCACCCTAAATCTGCTGCTGTCCCTCTCCACAGCTGAGCTCTCGCCGTGGCCCTGCCAGGATGAGCCGAGGGGTTGGAGCACCGAGCCCCCCGGACGCTGCTGCTGCCCTGCGGGCAGGAACGATGCTCCGTGCTGAGAGGGAAGGGGCTGCGGGCACAGCCCCGTGTCCTGCTGCCCGCGGGGCTGTCCCTGCCCGCAGGCTGTGGTGCAGAGCCTTCCTGCTGCTGGCCGTGTGCGTGTGTGCCACTGCTGTCCCCTACGGCCTGGGCGCTCTGGCTGCTGTCACCTGGGGTCCCCCGGGCTCCTCGGCCTCCCAGCGAGGGGCGGGTGGCAGTCTGGTGACAGCACGGGGGGACCTCCTCTCCTCGGGCTGCTTCCCGGGGCTCCCAGGAGTTGTGAGCCCTGGGGCAGGTGCTGGGGGACGGAGCCTGGGGACAGGGACTGCGGCCACACGGACACCTCGGAGCTCCCTGCAGCGGCAGCCTGGCCCTGGGGACAGGGAAGGGCTCAGGCCGGGCACAGCAGTGCCTGTCAGGCTGTCCCTCGCACAGGGGCCTGGCAAAAGGGAGCCTGCTGCCTCAGCTTGGCTCTGCCAGCCCGAGGGTGTCCCCAGTCCTGGCTCCTGGCGCAGAGCAGGACCAGGCTCACGCGGTGCCACACAGATGCCAGCAGTGACTTCAGCCGCTGGCCTGGGGCAGCGAGTGGGCACAGCAGAGCCCCAGAGCCCACAGAGGGGGTCGAGGCCACCTCCAGGGCTTGGAGTGAGGCGGCTGCTGGGGTCCCTGCCACCTCCCAGGTACGGCTGCAGCCTGCTTCCCTCCCCACAGCTGCTCCTGGCCCCTCTGCAGGGGCTGCAGTGACACAGGGGGCACCCAGCCAAGTGGTGCCGCTCCGAGGGGCAGCTGCAGGGTCTCAGGTCCCACCCGATGTCCCCACAGGGACACTGACGGGTGCTGGCTCCTGGAGCCCCAGAACAGCAGAGCAGGTGGTGGCCTCTGCTCTGCCCAGGCAAGGTGCACCCAGCTCGGCCGGGCTGAGCCCTGGCACGGTGGGGGTGCCCCCTGCCCTGACACCAGAGGGGCTCTGGGGCACTGCTGGCACTGCCCTGCCTGGGGCAGCTGCTCCCTCATCTGGTGCTCTGCTGGCCCAGGTTCCAGGAAATGGCTCTGGACTCCTGGGTGCTGTTCTGGCATCACTTCCTACCACTGCCACAGCTCCTGGTGCCCACAGTCAGCAGGGGCTGCCTTCCTCCCTGCCCTTGGTGGAATCTGGGGCTCCTGCTGTCACCTCGGGGACACAGAGTGAGTGGCCTTCTCCCCCTGCACTGCCGATGTCCCCTGGAGCCTCCCCAGCACAGCCCAGGGCTCCCAGCCCTGCAGGTCCCACCGTGCCTGGGATGAGCTCCACAGCCATCGGTGCCATCCCAGAGCTTGGACAGACGGCTGTGATGGAAGGATCCAGGCACAGCAAGCCCGGGACAGCATCCGTGGGCCCCGTTCCCACTGCAGCAGGACCTGCAGGGCCCAGCCCTGCCAGCCCAGGCTCTGTGCCTCCCCCCTGCTCCCCACAGCCAGCTCTGCAGCGTGGCTCTGAGCCTGGGCACCGCCCTGCCACCCGCAGCAGCGTGACATCTGCATCCTGCCCGCCGACTTCTCCTGGTGCTGGGCGTGTGGCCAGCTCCCTGCTCAGCTCCCAGACCCTGGCTGTGCCCACAGGAGTCACCCTCGATGCCCACGTCGTGTCCAGTGGCCCCAGCACTTCCCAGCGCTCCTCCCCAGCCAGGGAGCCTCTCCCTGCAGGCACCAGAGCGGCCTCCAGCCCGGCTGAGCTGCTGAGCAAGGGCAGAGCTGGCTCCCCAGGGATGGAACCCTACCAGAGCTTCCTGCAGGCAAATGTCCTCGAGTTCCTGTGAGTGTGTGGCTGCTGTGGGGCTGGGTTCTGAGGCAGCAGTGGCCTGAGGGAGCCACCCTGGCCCTAAGGGAGTCCTGTGTGGCAGAGCAGCTGGTTACACGTAACTTTGACAGAGACTCTCTGTTCTCTTGGGAAAGGTGTATGCCAGAGGAATGGCTGCAGCCATAACCAGCACGTGTGAAAGAATGTTTTTCCTTTGCTCCCAGAAGGCTGGGAGGTGGATGTTGGAGTGAATGGCTGATAAGGGCAGCAACCTCTGCTCTAACCAGTGCTTGTTGGTGTAGGCTGTTTTGGCTTTCCTCCTGGGTGCTCCTGAGACTTTCTTCAACCTTTCCCGTAGCTGATATATATAAATCCTGGAGTGTGTGTAATAAGGATGGATCCGGCTGGAAGCAGCAGTGGTCTCTGTTTCTGTCCAAGCTGCTGCAGGTTTGGCTTGGAGGGAAGGGTCAGCCCAGGAAACTGCTCCAGACAGGTCATTGTGAGGGGCTACACTCCCTCACTGGTGTCATCATCCCAAGGGATCCCTGTCTGAGTTCCTGGAGAAAAGCACCTGGAGAAAAAAGAGGCAACAGGTGTGCTGCCCACTGTCTCCTTTCTCTGCCAGGAATGGCTTAGTGGTGGTGTGAGGGGAGGTTCTGTTCCGGGGGGATGCTCCTGCTCCCACCAGCTCCCACCTCATCCGGACAGTCGTCACAGAGGCCAGCAAGGGAAGGAGCATCTTCAGCTGGCAGCTGGAGCCCCAGTCTGTCCAGTCTGGTGGTGAGTCCTGAAGCTCTTCCCATAGCAGGGCTGCTGCCAAGCACCCTCCTCGTGCCTCTCTCAAAGCCAAAACCCGCTCAGTTTGGGTTCCAGGCTTTTCCTTCCCTTGACATCCCTTCTCCTGGCCTGTGTAAAACCGGTGTGAGGGTGTCAAGGCTGGTGGAGTGCACATCTGGAGCAGCTGGACCTGTGTGGGCCAGAGCTTCTGCTCGGTTCCCTGGCCTCCCCTCTGAGGTTCCCCCCTGCCCCGGGCACGGGGTATAACCGACCCCCACTCGGTGCCTCGGGGTCTTGGGAGCACGCTTCTACAATAAACACGTGTTTGCACCCAAGCCCCGTGTCGCCAATTCATCTGTTCCCGCGCTAGAATTGAGCCTTGCAGAGCCGAAGGGGAAAAGCGGCCACCGCTTCTCCCCCCCTCCTGCCGTGCTGCTCGCAGGCGCCCGCCAGGAGCTGATGTCGCACAGCAACAAATGGTAGCAGAAGATGGCTATTTCCATCGACTTGTGAAAGGGGGAGAGAGAAAGGAACTCTGCCACTGCAAGAGCTCTTCAGATGCTAAGAGGAGTGGATTTGCCGTGCGGAAAAGAAACCCGAAGCGCCGGGACCCTCTTCCGTCCTCAGCAGCGTGCTCTCTAACCCGCCCGGTAGCAGCCGCACTGCGTGGGCAGCTGCACTGCAGGGGCCAGGAGCCGGGTAGACTTACCCGAGGACAAAGAGGACAGTTTGGCAGTGGCTCGATGGACTGAGCTCGAAGAGTGGCCTGTCAGGGGGACAGCATTTGAATGGGGACCAGATGTTGACAGTGGCCGAACACAAAGTTTCAGGGGCGAGCTCTGGTTAACGGGAACACCCAGACTTCTGGGAGAGCCAAACCGCGAAAGAATACGGCCTCAGTTCAGCGTGATTTTCCACCACTGAGGAGAGAGATAGAGATTTCACCTCCCGCGCCAGTAGGGTAAGTTGGGTCAGAGCAGGGTGGGGACCCTGGCAGGTGGCTGAGCTACCTTTTTTTCTTTTCTGCGTTTTAACCACCGTCCGTGTCCAGACGGGGGCTGTAGGCTTGCATGTCCCTGGCGGCCGGGAGGCTTTTTCTTTTCCAAGGAGGATGCAACCTTGCTCGGTCCTTTTTGGGGTAACTCATACTGGAAAGCTCCTTCTCTTTCTCGGAAAGCTGCTTTTTCTACCCTCTCCTCCCTATTCTGGGCTATGGGGGCGGGGGGGGTCGAAAGGACACCAGTGGGACAGAATTGTAAACGGCGACACATCAGCTATGGGAGAATTGTTAACATCCTAAGAGAGGCCCTTCACATCCACGCATTTCATTGGCTTCCAGCCGCGTTGGGCCCCTCTCCTGTAGATTTTCCCCTCGGCTTCTGTGAAGCCCCCCCTTCCCTTTTCCCCACAGACTTCCCCAAACCTTCTCCCTTGGGGATGGCAGTGGCTGAGCCGCCCCAAGCGCCCTGCCGGGCACTGTTATCCTCCCTTAGGGGTGGCATTGGCCGTGCCTCCCCAGGCGAGATGCAGTGCACCCACCACCCCCTCCCAAGATGGTGCTGGCCACGCTACAGGGACCCCATTTTCCCACCTTGACCCTTCTCTTCCGCCCATGTTTTCCTGCCAGCCCCACCCATCCCCCAATGGCCCTGCACCATCCTGCAGCAAGCCAGCCCCTATTGGGGGGGAGGTGAGGTTGGATTAATTTCTCAGTCCTTCTTCTGGCCCACCCTCTGATGGGAGGGATCGCTGGAGGGGTCCCTCTGTGTTGCCTTCAGGGGAGGCAACGGCGACCTGGTTCGCAAGGAGCAGCACGGCAGCCCAGCCTAGTCCGGGCTGCTCAGGCTAATGACACACGCTGACACCAATGTGGTGGACGGTCAAAAGCATTTATTATCTTATCTCATGGGTTTAAATAGTCTTTGCTACATTGGGGGGGTTGGTAGGGAGTCTAGGGTTAGTCAGGAGTTGAAAACTACTGGGTTAGGTGTGGTTACATCTTCTGGGGGTGGTAGATAACGTGAAGCAGGGAGAAGGGGGAAGGGTCTTTCTTTCCGTCACATCCCGGGATCTTCTGTTCACCTGTCCCTATCTACTACACCAGGCCAGCTGAATTGGATTTGAGTTACCTTGTCCAGTTACAGACTAGCTGTACTGACAATTCCTCCTTTCCTTCTTATTACAATTGCAAAGCGTTCTCTGTTATCCTACCTGCAAGGGCCCTTTGCAGCCAGGGTGACAGAAGGCAGCAGGGCTCTAATTTGAAGGAGGCCTTTTACCTAATTTGACAAGCGTAGAACCCCTCAGCCAGAGATGTGTCTCATGGACCCCTGGAGTTGTAGCACTCACTTCCAGGAGCTCTTAGGCAAGATCACAATCCTTCAGGCTAACAGGCCACAGGTTAACTACTTAGAGTTACAACTTACCACTTAAAAATGAAACCACTTAACCCTTAGGGCCATTAGAGAATACCCAACTTCTAGAAAAACAATTTGTAAACACAAAACCAATTTGTAAACAGAAAAACATTTTGTAAACAAATAGAGTCCTGAAATGAGCCATAGCTTCAATCGTCCCAGATGTCCGTGAGGGAGGTGAACAAGTTGTCTCCATCGCTGTTCTGCACATGGCTCCACCACGTCTCTTGAGGAGCTATTGGAGAAAGCTGCTTGTGGCCCCAGGCAGGAGAAATGTGGATATTCTCAGTTCAGTCAGAGAGAAAAAGAGAAAGATTTCTGCCAGGCTAAGCCTGGGAAACTGTCCAGGAGGAATGTAAAAAATGCATTATCTTGCTTTCCGTTCATATTGTTTATCGATATGTTGTGCCACACTGATCTAAGTCCAGTGTACCAATCGTGTGAAAGGTTTTCACTTTGAGACCAATGATATTTCACCTTAGGGATCCTGGTTATCAAAGAGGAACGCTACTTGTTAATAAAGTTCGTTCTTTGCCTTCTGAAGACGGAGTCTCTTCATTCCTGTCCCTGCCTCAACAGCGCCAGAGGGACACATGTGGCAGGTACCCAATGTGTTCCTGTGTCTGTTGAAACACACGCATGTCCCCGCCCTTACAGGTGATGAGATCCCACGTGCTTCCCCCGCTATTGGTGAGAAGGTCTCGCACCATTACCTTGGGTTTGATCATTGCCAGATTGTAGTGATAGAAAGTGATTTAAAATGACTGGGTTCTGCGACTTTTCTAATACTCTCAAATGATTTAGTGTATAGATAGCTTTAGCTACTCCACCCTGTGGGGATTTACCACGCATTCCTCCCTTTTGTTTTTCAAGTTTCCATTCTCAAGTTCCATGTGCTCTTTTCACTATGGCTTGTCCTGTGCTGGTTTGGGAATACCAGTGTGGTGTGACACACTCCAGAGCTGTAGGAAGTGTCTTGTTTTCTGTGAAGTGCAAACAGGACCATTGTCTGTTTTGATGGACAGGGGAAGGGGATACCTAAAGCAGCAGAGGCTGAACGCCAATGTGTGATGGCATCCTGACCCCTTTCGCCTGTGTGTGCTGTAGCCCATATTGCTGATGAAAAAGTATTAATGGGTAAATGTACATCTTTTAGACATCCAAATTCAGGGATGTGTGTGATATCACTTTGCCAGACTTGCAAAGCATGTAGTCCACGAGGGTTCATCCCCATCTGCAGTGGTGCAGTGTGGCCTTGGCAGTCAGTGCAGGTGCTAACAATGTTATGAGCCTCTGTGTCTGACAGCTGGGATTGCCCTTGTAAGGCCAGAACACCTTGGTGGAAGAAATCAGGTGATGCCTTTGCTTGTGCTGGCATGTCTGGCTGTGGTGCTGTCCAAGCAGAGCCAGCTAGCCGGTCTGCTCGAGCACTGCGCTCTGTGATGAAAGATGGTAAATTTGTTGTGACTTCTGAGGTGTAACATGTAATAGGGCAAGTTCTGGCCAGGATGGTATGGCGCAGGGTTTTTAGGGAGTCAGATAGATTTGCACTGTCGATTTCCTCTAGTAGTGCTGGATCTAATCTCTGTGTGATATCAGCACCATAGGCAGAGTCAGTCACGGCATTTAGAGGAATGTGGGGAAAACTTTGGAAAGCCATAGCTACAGCACGCCGTTCTAACTGCAGTGATCCATTTTCATGACCCTCCAACATTTGCCACTCGCCTTCCTCTTTCCATGTCACAAGGGCTTTTCCTATTTTCCCAGAGCCGTCAGTAAACACTGTAGCACCTTTTAAGGGTGTTCAGCTATTTAGAGGTTTTAGAGGTAGTGCGGTTTTTTTCCACTTAACTTCAGCAATCTGTGTCTTGGTACAGAGTAAGTGATTTGTCCAAAAGAACTTTGCCAGGCGCTTTGCAAAGCTGTGAATCAGCAAAACACCATTCAAACTTACAATATAGAAAAGTAGTATTTAACTGTTTTAGACTGCAATGCAAGGTGTCACCAAAAGCATGTATTCTGTCACTATCTGTTAAAACCAGGCGGGGCAGTGTTCTTTATCTCTTCCATGACCCATCCTTCCTCTGGGGAGATATCTTCTGTTAATGGGCCATTGAGTGTCACTGCATGACTGATAAGATTACATCATCCAATTGTGAGATGCAACCCCACCTTACCTTCTTCAGCCTCTTTCTCCTCCTTATCCTCTCGGTCCAGTGTCCCCTCCACAAAGCCAGGGGGTCTCTGGGTGTCCCCAGCTTCCACCAGTCTCTTCTTGAAGCTAAGGTCCAGCACCATTTCCTTAGGGGATGGCTCCTCAGTGCCCACCCTGTTAGGGCTGCCCTCCTGAGACTCCAGCTCTTGGGCCTCAGCCTTTGGCTTTTTAGGGATGCTCCCATAACAACTTTCCTCTTGGCTCTGCTCTGTATCACTGCCTGACCTCAGGCTGGACACCACTGAGACGTCTCTGACAGCAGCAGGCTCCTGGCTGCCACCCGTGTTTTGGGGTGAGGAGTCCTCCCACAGATGCTTCCTGCAGAACAGAATGAGGTCTGTGACCTTGGCCCTCTCCAGATAATCCTGGCAGGGTGCCAGGCTGAAGACGTTGTGGATCACAGGCATTGGTGGGGAGGATGACAAAGCCTTGGTGTCCCTCAGCTCTTCCAGCCCTTTGACGGGGGTCACGGACAGAGAAGGGCGGATGAGCTCCTTGGCTGCATCCTTGACCTTGCAGGCATTTCCTTCCCCTGGTCCCCCATGGGGGGTGTCCTGAGGGGCCGGGCTGCTGTTTCTCCTCCCTTGGTACAGTTGCTCCTCCTCCCTTTGCCTGGGTTTCTCCCAGCTCCCTCCTCTCTCGGGAAATGTCTCAGCCAGCCCACCGGAGCCCCCAGAAAGCCTCTCTGGGGTGCAGACAGGCTGGAAAGCGCTGCTGTGCCTCGGTGCTGCTCGCCACTGCGGACTGTCTGCCCCGTGCTGCTCACCACCCGGCTCCGTGCCGGGAAAGGAGGCGTGGAACGTGGATGCATCGCCCAGGCTGACGGCAAACCCTGGGTACCCGGTGTTCCTGGGCAGCTCGGCATCCCTGCCTGGCTCAGCATCCCTCAGCGCCACCCCCAGCCTGGCACCCACTGTCCTTGGCACATGGGGCTCCAAGGGGCTGGGAAAATAACTGCTGGGATCTTGGGGCTTTAGGTAGGTGCTGGGAAAGGGCTCCCTGCTTGCCACATAGCCACAGCTGGGTAGGGCACTGGGCTCCCCCGCAGTGGGAGCTGGGCGGTGGTAGAGGGGGCCAGCTCTGTGGGGTGACAGCAGGTATGGGTGGGGTGGGTAGCACATTGCTGACCTCTCCTGCATCACTGGGCTGCTGTCAGGCAGCTGGAGCTTGGGCCAGGGGACCTCTGGCATCCTCTTCTGACTCTGGGCAGAAGGATAACTTGCTTCCAGGAACGGGGTGCTGGGGGGTGGCCCGTGCTTATCAAAGGTGACACAGTAGTGGGGTAAGGCAGTGGGGGAGCTCAGCTGCTCCCTGGAAGGCAGGGCCAGGCTGGAGGGCAGCAGCAGGAGGCTGTGGTTGGCGCAGGGATCGCTCCTGTGGGGTTTGCTGGGGTGCAGAGGGTGGGTGGCCGGGGGCAGGGCCCAGTTTACCTTCCCTGGTCGCTGCTGCAGGCTCTCTGCTTGTTTCCCGAGTAGCAGAGCCATCCTGGGAGCCAAGAAGGAGGCGGGGGCACCGTACACTGGCTTGGGGACTGCTAGAGGAACTGCCTTCTTCACCACCACCGGCTTCTTCACTGCCAAGGGGCACCTGGGGCTGTTCAGCTTCTTTCTGGCCATCAGCTTCTCCTGCCTTATCAGGCTGTCCTTGCTCTTCCAGCTGTCCAGGGGGTGCAGCCTGGTGTCAAGGCTCTCTGGTGGGCACAGCAGGAAGTTCTGCAGTGGCCCCTCAGCTGGCACGGGCTGGCTCAGGGCACCGGGGCCGTAGTGCAGGTAGGCGGCCGTGGGGCTCCAGCCAGCTGGGGGCTGCTCGGGGCCCTTGGGGCTCTGCAGTGGGCAGGCAAAGTAGGAGCCCGTGTAGCTGAAATGACTTTCAGAGCCAGGGTGGGGCACCGGGCTGCAGGTGCCTGGGATTTGCCAGGGCAGGAAGCCGGTGGCAGGCTCCAGACGAGGCAGCTTCTTGAGAATCACAGGGTCTGCAGGCTGTGAGTACCGTTTTGAGGCCATTTATAGGTTGGTGTCGGTGTCCCCACAGGAGAGCTGAGTTGGCCTTCCTGGAAAAGAGAGAGAGTAAGTGTCCTGGTTTGAAGAGCAAAACCAGTGAGAGGCTCTAAGCCAGAAATAGAATTTACTAGGAAAAAGGGAATGAAGAACTAAATATATAGAATAGCACAAAAGAAGAACAACTGGCAGAGTTTGAGATACAACCTGACACTTGCTGGCTAGGGCAGTGGTAGCAGATATGGTTCTGTCCAAGCAGTGGTCCTGTAGACTGATGTAGTTTTCCTCTGGAGGTCCAGTGAAGAGAATGTCTCAACTGCTCCTCTTGGAAGAGAGGATCTGCTTGCTGTCTGTACAACCCCGCTTATATACTTGATGGCATCGTTTGGCTCCTCCCTCTGGGCGGAGCAACTCACAATAGAATGCTGTGATCTTATCAGTCATGTGGCTAAAAGAATGGGTCCTCCTTGAGGGACTTATCTCTGAGTCACGAGATAAGGGAAGGAAAAGGAATTGCAGATCCAGGTAGCAATGGAATAAACCCCACTATTATAACCTAGGACACCTTTAAACAACCTGGTTTTTGGTATTGCACAGTTTAAAACAGATAAAAGCCAAGCAAAGCTCAAAAGCTGCAGCTGACGTACATTGGGCACTGCCCAGCGGATCATCCCACAAAGATGGAGAGCAGGGAGAATCTGGCGGAGGAGTGAGTGCCACTTCAGGAGTGTGGGCAGAAAGGAGGGGCAAGAAACCGACAGGAGAGCGGCTGTTACCAGAGCACCCTGTCCCTGTGGCACTGTCCTGCCATGCCATCAGACTTTCTCTGCCACCGGCAACAGACACGTTTGTGCTGCACGCAAGCCCGCCCGCGTCGTGGCACTGGAGCCATCGCTGTGCTCCGCGCTCCATATCGCCGGTAACGCACTCGGCACACCCCTGCCTGCGGCTGCAGCCCAGACACCGCTCGGCAAACCCACCAACGGCGCGAGCAGAGCCCAGAAGTGAAGCGGCACCCAGTGCCGAAGCGCTGGTGGGAGGTTGCTGGTGCCCAGGACCATGGGACATGGTACCCTGCCACATACACAGCCAGGGCTCGAGAAGTCCAAGGGACGTTTTTCATTATTAAGCTCACAACATCCTAACGGAGGGAAACCAAGCTATCATACTCTTGTCGACCCATGAGAGAACGCTTCTGCCACACTGCCGGTATCGGTCACCATCTCTGCCTACGATCTGGTCAGCTTCTGGGGGCAGGTAAAGCCGATTGCCATTGCGGATGGGGATCTTAAAGGTGCGGAAAAGATATCTGTGCCCATGCCCCCACTGCCATCGCGTGGCTCACAGCCTACGGGTGGGATGATTGGTGCTGACACCTGACACCTGACACGTATGTTTCCCTAAATGACAGGTCCTCTCTGAACTGTGCCAGCCAGCCACCAAACACACACTGTGGTCTCTGGCAGTAGCAAGGATGTTAGTGTTTCTTACTGCCAATGAGATGACACCTTCAGATATTAAACAGACAGTGAAGCTGCTTTGTCCCTCAGTTCAATGGATGATGTTTGAGTCCACCTGGCAGCGATATGCAGAGGATCAAGGGCAGCGCAATTTAGAGGTACGGCAGCAAGATCCACCCTTTGGGGCTGGGGTTTCTCAGCTTATGGGACTGCCCCCTGTTGACAATCTTCAGTTACAGGCACGCCTACATCCTTGAATATTAGTACAGGCAAAACACTTAGGGATACAAGCCCTGCTGAAGGTTGCAGACATGTCAGCACCAACCCAGAGGTATTCCATGATCAAACAGGGCCCCAGGGAACCATACGTGCAATTCATAGAGAGGACACGAAATGCTGTCACAATCTGCTAGTACAAGCAGGGGTTGTGATGGTTTGTTTTACCAATCTCAGAGTGCAAAAGACACACAGCAAGGGATTTCAGTATTAATCAAAACAAATTCACCTTTTATTGAGTGCCCACAGCAAATGTGATAGAAGGATTAGAAAGGAGATAAAGGATAGCGAGATAGAGAGAGAGAAAGAGGTGGGAGGGGGTAAGAGCTACCAACAGAGACACAAAATCCTCATTGTCCAGCCAGCCAATAGGTCTGTCTTGTCACATCAGGGAGAATCTCAAACTCTCTGGTAAACTCAGGGGTCTTTTATAGTCTTCTGCCAGGGCGGGGGAACAGGAAGGTATGTGGAGGGAACAGGTACAGGACAGTGGAGAATAAGTCCATTGAGAACACGTACAGACAGTCCAGTTCTGAACAGGACAAACCAGTCCCAGCAGTGAGCAGGACCCATTGTTTCAGGACTGGTTCCCATGGGAAAGCAGTCTTGGTCCAGCGAGCACATTTGCAGGTAGCACTTGGCAGACATCCCGCTTCAGTCAGGCCAGTGCCCCTGTGTTAGAATTTCAAGGGTCTCAGTCCTTAGGGGGGGGCTTCAATCTGCATTCTTGATGGTGCTCATGAGGCAGATGAGGGATCTTTGGACCATCTCTTACAGATGCCATGGAAAAGCAAGTAATGAATAATGATGCAAGAAATCAATTAATTGAAAATTGGCATGGGATAGTGCAAATGAGGACTGCAAAAGGGGTATAGATTTGTTACCAAAAGAAAATCCATCCTTAAATAAATTAATAATACACATGCTAAAATTGTGGCTGAATCAGATAGTATTGCTTTGTCAGCTGATTCTGTCTTGGTTTGAAAGACAAGTGTCTGCTAATGAAGGCAGGAGCCTCCCTTGAAATGGAAAATGTAAACCCCTCCCTCCAAATTGTTACAGTTTAGAATTTAATGGGCCCTCAGGCAAAGATATGAGAATAGAAATAACAGTTCTTCACTGTTACATATAAATTTTAAAAATCGCTACAATTTAATAGGACAATTAAAGTAAAATGCAGTAGCACAAAAAAAAAAAAAAACCACTGACATAGTCAGAATTTGACTTGACACCCTGGGGTCAGGGTGTTGTTTGCAGTCCGACTAAGTGGTGGCTGCAGTCTTCCTCAAGTGACAGGTGTGGTTCTGTTGAAGCAGTGATCCTTTAGAAGGGTGTAATTTTCCTCTGAAGATCAAGTGGTGAAGTAGACGGGTCTGGTCTTCCTCTGGGAATCCAGTGGAAAAGGCTGCCTGTAGTGTTGAAAAGTCTCAGATTGTATCCAGGTAGGAATACTTGGCTCCTTCCCCTGGGTGGAGCATCTCACAATGGGATGATGTAATTTTATCAGTCATGCAGTGACACTCAATGGCCCATTAACAGAAGATATCTCCCCGGAGGGAGGGCGGGTCATGGAAGAGATAAAGAACACTGCCCCGCCTGGTTTTAACAGATGGTAATAGAATACCATAGAATGCTTTTGGTGACATCTTGCATTGCAATCTAAGACAAGGCCTCTGCTGCCCACGTCTTTCTCTACTGCCAGCAGCTCTTTCCACTGCCTGCAGCTTCTCACAGCCCACCCAGCTGCCTGGCAGCAACCTCTGTTCCTCCATCACCCTGCAATAGCACAGTAGCTTGTTATCCTCACACAGGCACCTGTAAAGACGTTTGAGGGTTCCAGGACGGTTTGGGTGGATACAGACGAGAGATCTCTGCTGAATGCTCTTGGAGGATAAGGTTTATTTGGGATGGAGAGAGGCCCTGCCTCGAGCTGCTAGACACAGCACGTGGCCGGGCCTGAGGTGATGGGGGAGGGTTGAGACAAAGGGAAGAACAGGGACTCCAGGAGGGGGAATCCAGGAGGAGGGAGGAAGTTCCAGGAGGGAAGGGGAAGATCCAAGAGGGCGTCTGGCCCTTTGGAGGCCCCTTACCAGGGGGCTTCAAGGTGGGCTGGAACAGGACTTGGGTCAATGGGGTTACAGGCACTTGATGTTTCAGGGGAGGGTTACAGGTGTGGGGTGAACTATACATTCTGGGGGGTGAGATGGAACAGTCCATTTGACTTTTGGACCCCTCTGTAGGTAAGGTTATTGTCCAGCCAGTGGGGGCATGATATTCATCCTGGCTGTACTATTGTGGTTCTTCTGCTAGACAATCATATTTATCTATCCTTCCCAACATCTCCCCTGTTTTCACTGAACCATTTGAAATATTAAATATTGACTTAACAACTATTTTCTGCACACTTGGAGGTGTACAGGGTATTGCTACTAAAACTATACTTATCACTACTGGAAAAATCAAACTTATTTTACAGAGCTTCTTTAGCTAAGGTGCAAGACTCAAACCATTAAATAGGCTGTGTAGTTGAGATGGATTAATTGTTATCAAATCACTGATTATAGTATAGGTGGCATTATTAGAATTTTCTGGAAAAGGTCTTATAATTAAACGGGTTGAAAAAGGTTTGTTAGGGTTTGTGTTAAATATATAGGTGGTCCCAGAGCTTGCAGGCTTGGCTAAGGCAACCCCGGCATTTGTCTTTGGTTGACTTACAGGTAAAACTTCAATACAAAAACTGAAACAGAAGAACAAAAGCAACATGCATGCATATAAACGATAAAAGTCCATTTTTCTCTCGAGCTGTTTCTGGTCGATCATTTTATCTTGATGACTCAGCGCAGTTCAGGTTTTCTGGGTGCTGGCTTCTTGGCTTGTACTTGCAGAAGTACTGCCTGGTCTGGGGGTGCCAGCAGATTTCGGTGCGTGGTAGGGCTTCACATTCTTTGCTGGGACCCATTTGAGTTCTCCACCTGTAGAAACACAAGCAAAATTTTCCCCCCCATGTTAGAAGACTGTGTGGACCTTGTATTTGTCCTGAATCTAAGGTTTTGATTAAAACTGGGGGGTGCCCTTTTATTTTTATTTTTTTGTTCTTCAGGAAATGTCTATATATGGGGGTGCGAGGCTCTCCTGCAGAGCTATTTAGAAAATTGTGAACATGCAGAGCCTTATTCAACCTCCTTTGAGGTGCAGCCTGATCTACTCCCCCTTTCTGTCAATTTAAAATGCGTTTTATGGTTTGGTGTGTTTTTTCTATGGTACCTTTTAACAGTGGTTTAAAATAGGAAAAGGAGATACCAGCGTCCTTGATTGCTTTTAGGACTTCT